TGGCTCTTTCAACAGGGCCCCCTGGCTAGATCTTAACAGCCGGGTAGGCTCATATGGAAGGAGGCGGTCCTTCAAGTATCCAGGGCCCAAGCCGTTTAGGGCTTTATATGTCAAAACAAGCACTTTGAATTGGGCCCGGGCAGCAACTGGTAACCAATGTAAATTGAACAGAATCGGCTTGATGTGATCTCTAGCGGCTCCACCACTCACCAGCCGCGCAGCTCGATTCTGGACCAGTTGCAGTCGCCGGACCGTCTTCAAAGGCAGCCCCACGTAGAGCGCTGCCTCTATACGAGATGTTACCAGTGCGTGTGTAACTGTCATGAGACTCCGCTCGTCCAGGTAGGGCCGTAGCTGATATAATTTCCGCAGCTGAAGGAAGGCGCCTCTGGCCACCGAGTCCACCTGGGCTTCCAGTGTTAGACTGGGGTCCAGGAGCACCCCCAGGCTGTGGACCCTGTCCCTTAGGGGGAGTGTAACCCCATTCAGGGCAGGGAAATGGCCCTCCAACCTGTCCGGCGAAGCACCCACTAACAGCACTTCCGTCTTGTCTGGATTGAGTTTCGATTTATTAACCCTCATCCAGTCCATTATCAGGTCCAGACACGAGTTCAGCACAGAAACCGCCTCACCTGGATTGGTGGAAAACGAGAGGTAGAGCTGAGTGTCGTCAGCATATTGCTGACTCCTCAGCCCAAACCTCCTGATGACCTATGTTGGCTTCTTCCATCTTGTCTTTTTGACAACAGATGAAGACCATACTTTTTAGGCAGTCTTTTAACAGCTTTTAATTGGTGCTGCATGTGATTATATATTTAAAAAGAATTAAGGTGTTTTAATGGTATTAATTAATTATTTTTTCCTCCAAGCTTCACTGTATTCTGCTGTTCTGCTACTGGATGTTGAGAATTGGATACTACATAAAACTGGAGATCTGGAATACTGATTTCTGTTTCATTGTTTCCTAGCAATAAAATATTAATATTTCTCATTATAATAACATAGGCCTGAAAAATAGGACAATTTATCGCCTGATGTGTGCTGTAAGTGAGAGGACAGTGACCTCATTCTGCTTGCCACTTCCCTCCTTTCTGCTCCTAGGAGCATAACCTTTTATACGTCTTTCAATTCCACTTCCTGTTCTGGAGCTTGGCTTCCCAATCAAGTGAAAGGAGAATGGTGTGTGAAATCGTAACAATGGTCACAGTGGTGGGAGAGACTATTATTTATTCTATTTTGAGAGCAAATACTTAACCACTTCTCTCTCACTCACCTGTCTCCCCTGCCTTGCCTGCTAAAGCTGTTCCTTCACGCTAATATTCCCATTCTTTAAACTAGTAAGTACCAATGAAAAGGGTCTTGCATCCAATGCCATGTTTACATTTGCATTAGGTCTGTGTGAGTGCAGTTAATGTGTCCACTGTGTTGAGTTTGGAAATAGGCTGATTGGCTAAAAAATTACAAGACTACCTTTTTCTGTTATGACCTTCTGCTGCTAAGGTAAGAGATACTTCAACCACAGTGAAGTTCATAGGGTAAGAAGGAGTAAAAAGAATACCACTACCTTCTGCAATAAATTATTGCTCCTTTTAGAAAGATGTCCCACTCCCCTATGTTGGTTTTCAGTTTTATAAACTGAAGAATGAGCACAGCATTGTTAGCACATGTGTTACTGATCTCTGTTGTCCAGAAAAGAAATCTCTTCTAGATTTATGGTTAGAGATGGGGGCACAGGCTTGATGAACACACAACTTCCAGACCCCACCAGACCACTTACCACATGGTGCGCATGGCAAGTGTAATCTTCTGCACCTCAAATGTGGCTGTAGCTGCTTGCCCAGCTGCTCTGTGATTGAGCAGGGAGACTCATCCTTCTGCCCCCTTGCCAGAGTGTCTGGGCCAGCAGGGAGGTGGGCCTGTGGCAGCCAAACTACTGTCTTGATTGGGGTGCAGAAGATTATGCTGGCCACGCACACCGTGCGCTGTGTGTGTGGGTGTCTGTGAGTGGGTGTTAATCAAGCCAGCCACCTGTGCCAACAGGCTTCAAATTCGTATATCAATATGAAGCGCCATCTCTATTTATGATCATTCCCAACTAAGGATATGCCATTTGTGTGGTTTTGTGGGGGGGGGGACTATAAATTCCAGAATTCTCCATTTTAGGAGTCCCACCTGACAGACAGACACACACTAGGGAGAAGAGTCCAAGCTGTAAGGGTTTGTGACCAGGCTTCTTGTTAAAAAAGAAAGCTATTTTTAACAGGAAACTAGGCAGAGCTAGGCCTAGCTGTCTGTCAGGTAGGAGAATTTTGGGAGTTTTAGTAATGGAAAGAAAGGAACAGAATGGCATATTCCTATTCCCATCACTTTCTCTCTTCATTCAGTGCAAAAAATTCTATGTACTGTTGTGACCTTTTGATAGTTATAGAATACTATCTGAAAGTATTCTAAACCCTTTAGTGTTATAAAAAACAATTTGAAATGTGTGTTTCTAGAGTACTTCCATCGTATTTTTCAAGGAAGTTATACAACATATAACAAGGGCTGCAAGAATTTTTCGACAGGAAGGTGGTCACATGACACAAGTAAGAGAATTTGTATTTTAAAATGTTGATATAATGATGTATAGCATTCAAGTGGCAGTAATTTACATTAAAAACTAGCATATTTCAACTAAATAAAAACTTGGTTTAAACCTTTTGTACTATGTTTTAAATTATTTTTGTTTCATCTGTATCTTTCTTTCATGAAACATAAATAATTAAATTATATAATGTAATTATTTGCCTTATTCATCAACTCATTTCATTACATTACGCTACAGTCCTGTATACAAACATGTCAGCAAGTTCCTTTGAATCGAGTGTGACTTGGCATTTTGGGTGTGCATGTGTTGTCCAAATTCAACATATAACCTGCGTTCCTCAGTATAAAGCAAAACACTAGAGATCTATTAGAGGCGACCCAGCTAGGACAACTGGAAGAACAACTGAATGAATTTGAACATAATTATCCTCTAAAATGTTCCACTAGACTTGAATAAAATGTAGACTTCCATTCATACTTATTTTCAAGCCTTATAGTTTATAAATATTTTATTTAAAGGATTATACTTCTGCTGTCTCAATTATGGTTAATATTTTTCTTCAGATTGGTCTAGATGGCAACGGGAAAGTAACCTGTGCCTCCTTAGCCTGTTGCTTATCTGAATGCAGCCTCTACAGGTTATCTGTTACCTCCAGTTATAGTTCTGTAAATTTTAGAGAAGACCTTAAAAATGTCTACAAGCAAACAGGTCTGGAAGGCAAGAGGACTGTTTTTCTCATCTCAGATTCTGACATAATTCAAGTAAGCATTTCTGCTGTGGAACATTTCTGTGTGTGTCAAGTTAATTGCATACTAGTTAAATTGTCCTTCTCAATCTATGGGAAGGAGCCATCCAGGAACGGGTTAATATCATCACTGTGCAGGGAAGGTAGGGGACTGAAGACTGGAAAGTTTTATCACAGCCAACCTTGTCAACTCCTCCCATTGTTGTTTCTCCTGCCCTGCCAATAATAGGCTTCTTTCCTTGTATGCTCTTCTCCATTTGGCTTTTCCAAACTTCTTAATCTGTTTCTCTGCCTCTGTGAGTGAGTGAGTGAGAGAGAGAGAGAGAGTGTGTGTGTGTGTGTGTGTGTGTTCCCTCAAATTTTCTCTTCTTCCGAGAGAGAGAGAGAGAGAGAGTGTGTTCCCTCGAATTTTCTCTTCTTCATCCTCCTCCTTTCTTGCTATTGGACATGGTTCCCATGGAGAGATATTTCAACAAGGCTACCAAAATGATCAGTCTTTCAGAAAAGCTTCCAAAGCCCCCAGTTCTAAAGCATGTTCAGGCTGTTCAGGATGGCTGCCCTCCTTTCATTCTTTACCAGGAGCCATTCAGAAGCATGAGTTTCTTAATTGCCAGTCACCGCTGCTGCCTCCTTTTCACAGTGGGCACTGCCTAGAAGCTTCGTTTGCATGCATCTAAGGCTGTGGCTTACTTTCCATGAGGTTCCATCCTGGTCTGCAGAGAAAAAATCATCGAGACCCTCCCAAGGATCGTCACTTCTTAGAGCATAGACATATAACACACTCACTAACTCAACTCACTTCTTCATACTTCTTACATTTTCTAGCTCCTTTTTTATCTTTTCTGTGCGGTGCTGTGGAAAGAGCACTGGTATATACTAAAATAGACAGGCATGATAAAGCTGTTCAGTGTCCAGTCCGCCTTTCCTTTGTGATGTAACATTTGACCCATTCCTGGATGTCTCCTTCTCTGTAGATCAGAATGGACTTTCACTGAGGTTAAGGCAATACCCAGTCCATTCCATAAGCCAAATATATCCATATGATCCCCAGATTACCTTAGTTTCAATGAATGTTTGACTGGCTGTGCCAGCTGTTCTGTCAGCATTTTGGATAGTCTGTCTTCTTGGGAGGCAGAGTTTCCTGTCATGTTGTGTCAGATGAGATTCAGTTGTTGATACTCAAGGCAGCTGAGAAGGCCCAATGGGCTGCTGACCATCTGCAGACCACATTAGGTCTACGGGTAAGAACCCCACCACCACAAGGTTATATATGTTTCAAAAGCCCCATTATTATAACAAACCATTGTAAAAATAATAGGTTATTGGAACCCGCTAAGAAACAGTAAATGGCAAGATCAGGAGTTTTCAATTACAATTCTCTCATTTTTCAAAGCTCATGTATTACAAATAAACAATTAAATCTGTACTGTCAAGTTAATTCTGACATATGGTGACCTTTTTCAGGGTTTCCTAAGTATATAGTACTCTGAAGTGGTTTGCCATGTTCTTCTGCTGATGCTCTAGGACTGTGCTGCATGCCAAGTGCTCATGGTTTAGAATTTTTCTTGGGAGGCATAAGGCATACAGGAGAATTATCTCCTGACCTAAGTATTCTCACTAAGCTATCCAGCCAGATATTCCTGGAGCATAGATTTCATGCTTCTCTGAAGAAACAATGTGGCTTTTATTGCCCTTAACTGGCAGAAAGATCACGGGTAAAATGCCCTGTAATTCTTTTTTCTTTTCCTCTTTTTTAAACTTTGGGATAAAAGCACTAATATCCAAGCTTCTTTCTGCAATTCTAGACTTTTATTGTGCAGTTCCATTTTCTTCATGGGGTTAAAGAGAGACTAACTCTTCCATTTTCCATTTTCCCAACACTATCTCTGTCTTTTGTTGTATAAAATATGAATTGTAGAGGGAAAGATGAAGTAATAGCACATTACCTTTTGAACCTTCACTTTGGAAGGACCTTATTTCTTAGTTGCATGTTATAGTGGAAACACTATCAAATGAATGAAAACAGAATACATTTCCACAGCAAAATGTAAATGTAATTTTTCTGTGACAGAAGCATTTCCTCAAGAAACCCGTCTGGATTATTTATCATTTGTGATATCATTTATTATTATTTTTATTTGTTTATCTTATTATTTAATGTTCACTTGCACTACATCATGCTTCAAATTTTTACACATGTTTTTCTGGGTTATAATTGGACATGTAAAATAAAAGCTGTACTTATATCCTGATGACGAGTTATAAAGCAAAAACTGGCTAATTTCTTAAATACAGGTGAAGATAAATTTATGTTGGAATGAACAGGCAGTCATCATATGCTTTTAATGACATGATTATATCAACTGTGTCATTAACTGTCTAGTTCAGTTCCTAGAAGATACAGAAAGCTTTTTGTATTTGTATAGGCGTTTTTTAAATAATAGACCACATTGGGTTTGGAAAATACAATGGCTACAGTCCAGCATGAAACAAAACAAAAATAAGCTTTTTTTTGGCTATAATCATGTTTCTTCGTATTGCACGTGGCAATATGATCTTCATTCTTGAAAACTAAGCATCTTTATGGAGATTACTAACGCATAGCATTTCTCTTAGGAATCGTTTTTGGAAGACCTAAGCTGTGTTCTGAAATCAGGACAGGTGCCCAACTTATTTGAAAAGGATGAGTTGGATAACATTATTGTAACCCTTACATCTGTTGCTGAAAAGGCTAAACATTCCAACCAAATAGAAGATACTTACTCCTTGTTCTTACAGGTAGAATTTTAAATGTGTCATCTTGTTGTGACTAATTTGTTATGAACTTTGGCAACAGAATCGTGTTTCATTGTGTTTCATATCTATATTGGGTGGGAACCATGTGGGCCTCCAGATTTTGTTGGATTGTAGTTCCCATCAGCCCTAATCAACATAGCCAGTGGCAAGTAATGATGGAATTTGCAGCAATATTGGTGTGGTACACATTCCCCATAAATGATCTACATAAAACTGCAGTTTGAAAGAATGCTGTAGATTGTCAACTAGAAATAAGAAATGGTGGCAAGCATGTTGTAGATGTAAATTAAGAGGAGCTGGAGCAGTTGATCTGGTAGGTAGCTCTTCAAAAAGTAGGATTTATATATTTTAAATATTACAAAAACTTAAATGCTCCATTCAAAAAGGTTAAAAACCACTGTGCTAGAATACTGCTGCGTGCTATTAAGGCGAATTGCTAAATTTTACTTCAAAGTATTATCTCATTAGATCTTACACACTTTTCACCACTGTTTGATTTAGTATAATCTAAGCAAGTTTATTCATAAAGTCCCATTGATTTCAGTAGATTTCCTTAGTATGCATAGGGTTGTAATCTTAAGGAATGACAATGCAAATTTAAACAGCATTTGAAAATTGACATATATTATGAATGTAATTTTCTCATGTACTGTAGGATAGTGGACCCTCATGTAAGCAAATAGTCTTGCCTGGTTCTTTATCAAGTTACATCAACTTGCAGTCTCAGTGCTTCCACAACAACAAGCATTTAGAATGCTAACTATATGGTACTGAAAGACAGGATCTGTATTTTTTAGCAAATGGGACATACTCACCTATTGCAAAATAAAGGTGCAGTCAGACAGACATTTGTCCCACAGTTTGGTCCAGGTTGGGAACAGGTTGATTAATGCCTTTCCTCAGCAACCACATGCCATATGTACAGTTGCAAACCCATCCACACCTGATCAATTCCTACCTGCAACTTTTGGGGTCCATGTGAGGGGCTACTTTTTTTTGTATGGAAAGGATTTTTCTGTTTTGGTTTGGTTCTAGCATGTGTGATCACTATGATCAAACCAAGGTGGCTATTTGTCTGTTCACTGACACTGCACAATGTTCTTGTAAAATGGAAAGCTTCCTTTCCACTCACCTGAGAAGGGAAAGGAAGTTAAGTATCAGTTAAGCACTGATGTGCTGTGTCAGTTAGGAACAATTAAAGAAAAATGGAAAACTTAATCTCTCTTCCCCTCTGCAGGTAAGCAGAAAGGAACCTTCCCATTATTACTCAACATAATTAAGCAGTTTATGCAAAGCACAGAGAAGGAGAAGCACGGAGAAGATTTTATATCAAAATCTTAAAAATCCTGCCCCTGTCTCCTCCTCAACAGGGTCTCTTAAAATGTGGTGTGTTCGAACCTTGCATATGGATGCAAATATTGAACCAAATGGCATACTGCACTTTGAAGCTACTCTGTTTAGCATGCCCTAGACTGATCCAGACCTTGATGATTCAGCTTTGTGATAGATAGATAGATAGATAGATAGATAGATAGATAGATAGATAGATAGATAGATAGATAGATAGATAGATAGATAGAATCAATGAATGAAACAGCATTTCTACAGCCAAGTGGCATTCCAGCCAATCAGAACACTACTCAAAGAGCAAGCATTACACATACAGTAAGTAACCTATTTTTATGTATTGCCATTCAAGTTACTATTCCGTCCACACACGTTTCATTCCCCCCCCCCATTGTTTTAACAGTGTTTCCTGGCACTCATCCAACTTACCACAGGCAGTTAAAACCCCGGTAATTTACCATGCATACCAACACACAGCTGTGTGCAAAATATATACAATGAGAAATTACTACCCCTACCACCTAAATGCTCTCCATCTATAAAGTTCCACACAGTTGCTCTATGCAGGCATAGATTCATAGATGTGAATGTGCAGATGACTACTTGAGGAACAAACATTACATGTAAGCAGCCTGTTTTTATAAATTGTCTACTGCGGTGATTTCCAGTTTTGGGTCTCCAGATGTCCTTGGACTACAGCTCCCAGAAATCCTGGCCAGCACAGCTAATGGTGAAGACTTCTGGGAGTTTTAATCCAAGAATGTCTGGTAATACAGGGTTGGGAACCATTGGTCTGTTCAAGTGAAACACCCATGTTACCACTCAAGTTACTAATTTTTTCTTAGCCACAATCCAGATGTGGTTTCAATAATTGGAGGGCACTGGGTTTTTTGTTGTTGCTTTCTAGCATACATTCCATGGATAAATAAATAAAATGATCTTATCTATACTGTAAATGGATAATATAACTGTAATAAATGACTGTGGATAGTGTGATTTTCATGCCATATTACCTTTTTATTTCAGAGAGTGCATTGCAATCTGCATATTGTTCTCACATTAAGTCCTGCGGGAATTATCTTCCGCCAGTGTTGCCGGACATATCCTGCTATTGTTAATTGCTGTACAGTTGACTGGTATGAAAACTGGCCTGAAGGAGCCCTTTGCCATGTTGCAAAAAGTTACTTTAGCAACAATGATCTGTTTGGAAATGAGGTAGGGTACTTGTTCATTGTTTATGTTAGTGAAGCAAACTATAACATGTTACAGTTGTCTCATTCATTTTCTCAATGACATCCCATTCAAAAATTCAAACTTTACATTCATTGGTATCATCTACTTTTCAAACTCTGAGTATAAGTTAAATCCCGTGAGATCTTCAGGTAGAGCAAAGAGATAAAATAATTGATCTTTCCTTCCCTTTGTAATTCCCTGAATTGTCAGAGATATGTAAATATTTAGGTCTAATTTAGTGCACTATTTATTTATTTAT